TGCGCGGATATCATCCAAGGTATGATGATGATCCAGCATAGACTCCGATGCCAATCTTGCAAACTCAGTGTAGCATGTATCAAATGTGCGTTCCTTGGTCGGCATGTGAAGCGCGGTGACAGCCAAAATAGCAGCACACAGCATTGATGAAGACCGTCTGACAGATTTCAAGTCTTCATGTGCCAGCAAGGCCCCGTCCCATAGGTAACGGTTGAGTACCTGGTCGAACTGATAGAACAGCTCCTCCGCTTCCTGGATATGAACCACTCCGCGCGAGATGAGATCAGTGCCCAGTGCTTGGTCAGGGGCAAGCTTTTGTCCGGGAGAGCTCTCACGATTTTCGCTGAGCTGCGTCACCTCGTACAAACTGCCCATCGGCGCTGTGACCAGAGAGGTTGCCCCAGTGTCCTCGCGGTCCAAAGAGTATCGTGGCTGATGTTGGGAGAAGCCAAAGTTTGACCCTGCAGTTGTGCCATTTCGTGCTGCACTTCCAACTGGCTCGGCCTTTCTATGTTGCGCAAGTCCATTATCGTCAGTTGAAACGGTGGAATCTTTCCGGCCTCTCTTGTTCGAAGGTGTCTCGATTGTGCTGCCGCCTGCTTGGTAGTATGATAGCTCCGGTAGCTGAGATTTCCTAAGCAGGTCCGTCATTGCTGATTCGATCATTGATTTCCACCTGTCGTAGCCGGCGCAATCAGTACATGTTACAGATGTAAACATTGAAAATAAGGCGCTCACTCAGCTTCGTCCTCCAGTAATGTTTGGAGGCTTTTGTTCACAACACACTCTAATCCCATGCGCCCACATCGCGAGCACACCGAGTCAGTTGCCTTCATATCACAGCGCACCTTGTGCCGTTTACACTCGGTGCATGCCCGTATCCGTCGAGAAACCTTCGGAACATGGTGAGGACGGTCCTCTGGGGTGAAGACACCCTGCGGTGGAGAATCGGACGAGGCGTCACCATTGGCCTCGAATTGAATGCGATTCCGCTTCATATCGGTGTGGTGGTTGGACTCATTCCTCCGCCTGGCACATTCCGGGGAAGACAGAAGGCGGGGTTCGGAGCAGCTTCACCGGCCGGTTCTGGCCCGAATTACTCATTGCCGGTTAGCCGCCTGAGGCAGACATGCATATTGAGGCAGAATAAGCATGGATTGGCCGGTCACCTGATCTTTGTACACTATACCCGATTAGGTTTAAATAGTGTCGCGCTTCCAGTCCAGCGCGTTCGCGTACTCCGACAGGTCAAGCTCAACTCTCTACACAGACACAAGATTCCAACGGGAGAAAAGCTGAGCTCACGTTCAAGATGGGTATTAAACGTAAGGATCTCGCTCTCAATTATCTATACCTTTTTGCTTAATCAACCCCAGATTTGTACCAGGTGATCTCTGAGAATGCCCCCGATGCGATCAAGACGGGCGAGATCAAGAACCACTTTGGCCGCAAGGTCGCAATTGTATGTCTTGTATGACCTGTGATATACTTTCAGATGCTGACATACAAATTCTTCGAATTAGGATGCGTAAGTCATCGGATTGCTGTCCCGGTAGCTCAAGAGAATCTCTAGTCGCTAACCCAGAGTAGGTCGATGAGCATTTACAGTTTCCTGATCGCCGTGCGTTCGGAGGGGCAACAGCTCATGAGTGAGTCCGGCGAGACCACATCTCACCTGATGGGCATGTTCTACCGTACTTTGCGGATGGTAGACAACGGCATCAAACCTCTTTACGTTTTTGACGGAGCGCCGCCGAAGCTCAAGTCCGGTGAATTGGCGAAGCGTGTTGCACGCAAGGCTGAGGCAACCGAGGCCCATGAAGAGGCCAAGGAAACTGGAACTGCAGAGGATATCGAAAAGTTCTCACGACGGACTGTCCGCGTCACCCGTGAACACAACGCGGAGTGCAAGAAGCTGCTTGGGTTGATGGGAATTCCTTACATTAACGCGCCGACGGAAGCCGAAGCCCAATGTGCCGTCCTGGCTCGTGCGGGTAAGGTGTACGCAGCTGCGTCAGAGGATATGGATACATTATGCTTTGAGTCACCGATTCTCCTGCGCCACCTAACATTCAGTGAACAGCGCAAGGAACCTATCCAGGAGATCCACTTGGATCGAGCACTTGAAGGTCTCGATATGGATCGCGCACAGGTACAGTATCCTGGTTATGATACGCCTGATCACAATTACTGACTACATCTACCGTGCAGTTTATCGATCTCTGCATTCTTCTAGGCTGTGACTACCTAGAGCCTATTCCCAAGGTAGGAGCCACCACTGCTCTCAGCCTAATCAAGGAGCACAAGTCTCTAGAGAAGGTCCTAGAGTTCATGAAGAACGACCCGAAGAAGAAATTTGTAGTCCCTGAGGACTGGCCATATGAGGATGCGCGAGAACTTTTTATCAACCCGGACGTCCGGCCTGCAGATCATGCCGAATGTGACTTCAAATGGGAAGCTCCCAACGTTGATGGCCTGATTGAGTACCTGGTTGGGGACAAGGGCTTCAACGAAGACCGTGTGCGCAACGGTGCCGCCCGTCTGTCGAAACATCTGAAGACCGCCCAGCAGTCCCGGCTGGAGGGCTTCTTCAAGCCCATCGCCCGCACTGAAGACGAGAAGGCATCTCTCAAGCGCAAGCATGACGAGAAGCTACAGCAACAAAAGAAGAAAAAGAAGGAAGAAGCAAAGGCTAAGAAGGATGCCAAGGCGAAGCCGCGTGGAGCGGCCTAGTTTCTTGATGATGAGAGACGCTTTTTTGTCGTCAAAAACAACTAATGATACAAAATTATTTCCTGATCTGGCAGATCTAACGTGAGCTGGACTGGCGTGGGCGTTCTGTGGTTTATTTGTTTCATTATTTCTCATGGATTATTTTCATTACGGGGAATGTGCGCTTCGACTCAGAATCGGGACAGAGCATGAAGTTCTGTGTATCATAGAAAAAGGCGGTCTGTTTTAAAACAAAACTAGAGAAATATGTAGTCCGATACTTCTCCATTGTTCTAGTAAACTTTTTCAGCCATATAGATGTCAGGATCAGACAAGATCAAGTAGAGCAGACACAGGCATTTTGTCTGATCCTCGTGGCTACAGTTGATAGAAAGGTCCAAAATCTATATATTTATTATCTCCCATCTGTTCTCCATACATGAGTATATCAAATCTCCTTTTCAGATGTCCTGGTGTAGCTATTTCATGTTGTCGATATCCAGCGTTCGCGTATATAGTTGTATAGATCGGGTCCGATTAGCGAGATTAATCAAGGCCTCATAACACCAACCGCGACTGATCTTCGCGAGGGAAAGCAGCAAACACTTCGAATGCAGAAAATATACGCTGGCACTATTTAACATAAGCAATCTACATGATCAAAAGATGCAGCAAGAGTCCGTCTAGTGCAGGATCAGCGTTCTCACCAGCTGAACCCTTGATTCGACGCGCCGGTTGCGGATGCAGATACGATGATCCCCGTCGCACAGCTACGTTGATAGACCAACTATCATGGTCATGTGGTAGGAAACTAGGAGATTAGTCCAATAAGACTACATTTTTATTATTATCTATGTGGGTTGGTTTGGCGTGATAAGACATGTTCAGATGGGTCCGGTATACATCTATCCCCGGCCGATCCCAGGCTACCTTTCAAGGTTTCTTCTTCTCGGTAACTTTATGGGTGCGTATCAGCGGGGAATGGTAGGATCGGGGCTATTCTGCGTCTTTTATTGGTTGTGTCTGCTGATCTGGATGTGATCAGGTAGTGGCGTTGCCGCTGCCCAGGTGAGAGAGCTTTCCCCTCTCTTGGGCGATTTATATCGTGTGCCACCTTGATTTTGAGAGAAGTTGGGCTTCATAAATCCTGTGGTTTGTTATGGGACTTTTAGTATCTAGCAAATTTGATAAAATGTCCAAACAAAAGAAAATTCATGTGCTCTGTTTGTTTCGATAATATATATGTGGTCCTATGTGTTGTTCTTCAGAGCGCAAATGCTCATTTTGCTATTATTCCTACTGTATTTGTCTGTCTCATCAAAAAAGACTGAACCTTGAAAAAAACACATCATCATCAGCTCGTATTTCAAGTCTGCAATTACCTTGAGATAGATTCATTGCTATAAATGTTGTCTGTATAACGCGTCCCTAAAGCGAGTATCGACATCATCTAGGGGTTGTACCATGGGAATCGAGTCACAGGTAAAACCTACAACGTGATCTTTTAGCACGAGGTGATGCAGGTCCCGCAAGTAAGGAGCGTTCGATGCATCAACGTTAGTATAAAAGGTCATATTATAGGAACGATTGTGTTTCATGCCTGGATTCCAGGTCTCGAGAAGGACTCCTAGACCCGACCCAGAGAAGAGGGATAGGTTACCCTAGACGGCATTGGAATGTAGCATAAGAAAACGATCTCCCCCGGGCCCTCTCTTGAGAGAGATGTGTTCGTCCCAAAAAGCCTCCAAACTAGAGTATGCGCGATTTCTATAGAGGGGAAAAGGGACGCGTAGAAGCACCAGTTTTACTAGTTTACTTGCTTATATGACTATTGTCGCGTTATAATCTTGTATGATCCTGTGTTATTCTAATATGTATGAAAAAAAAGATAACAAATCATCTTGAATACTCTTGTCTCATTGAGATATAACTAACAGGGAATGTGTAGACATCAACCATTCTTCAAGTTGGAACGAGGAGACACTCGCAAAGAACACAGCAAGACAGGCAAGAAACACACATTAATTAAAAAGGAGAATCAGCTAGAAAATAATATATAGAAAGAAAATTCAAAAGAAAGGAAGTCCTTTTTTCTCTGGTGATCTTGTCAACACCGGTCGCCTATAAATCACGGATGCCCCGCGGCCTTCCCTTTCCCTTCTGCTCTTTTTTTCTTCCTCTGCTTTCACTCAGACCACTTTTTTTTTTTTCCTTCTGAGCTCTTCTCATATCTTGATCCAAGCTTCTTGATATTCTCCCTTTTCACCTTAAATCAATCAATATCAATCATGCCTCCTAAGAAGAATACTAGCGCGTCCAAGAAGGCTGCGCCTGCTGCTCACACTTCCTACCGCGGTGTGTTTCCACTGATCCTGAATGCCCACCATATCGCGTAAAAGCGATATGGACATGATTATAATCGCGAATATCTGCTGATTCTATTGATACAGATATGATCAAGGATGCAATTATTAGTGTGAGTTGATCAGTGCCGGCGCGACCTGGTTGTTGTGATTCAGGTCGCGCGCCCGACCGTGACACGTCTTTGCCTTTGGGCATGGACAACCACAACAAAATCAATTCTTAGTTTTTACTGGTTTTCATTGCTGACTCAAGTCTTTTCTGCCTATAGCTGAAGGAACGCAATGGTAGCAGGTATGGATTTGGTGTTTTTCCTCATCTCTAAGATGGGCCCCGGATCTCGCGCCATTTATCCAAGAAACATGTCACTGACCGAATTCCCCCTATTTAGTCGTCAGGCTATCAAGAAATATGTTCAGTCTAACAACAAGATGAACGTCACTTCCCAGAGCGTCTTTGACTCTCAGTTCAATAAGGCTATCAAGGCCGGTGTTGAGAAGAATGAGTTCACTCAGCCCAAGGGTAAGTTCCTATTTACCCTGCCTGCGCACATTGATTTTATCCTACTCTGCATGATTTGTTTCGACTTCTGCATTTCGCTGCATGTTATTCGGATAGTTTCGTCCCGTTATTTGACCAGTTATCTGATGTGCCGTCCTCTAGGCCCATCTGGCCCCTTGAAGCTTGCGAAGAAGGAAGTCCCTGTCAAGGCTGCTCCTAAGCCTGCTGCGAAGCCTGCTGTGAAGCCCGTTGCTAAGCCTTCTGCTGCCAAGGTAAGCTCCCACCAAGTACATATCTCTGGGGTCCCTGCTAATTGCAACACAAGGCTGCCCCTAAGGCTGCTCCTAAGAAGACCGGCGCAAAGACTGCCACAAAGACTGCCGCTCCCAAGAAGCCTGTGGCCAAGAAATCCACTGCCACCAAGCCCAAGGCTAACTCTGGCAAGGCCCGCAAGACCGCCACCGCCGTAAGTTGACTCTGAATGTTTAAGTCTATCTTTCCCCTTGATTGATCTGTTTCTGATGAACATTCTAGGCACCTGCTGTTGTTGAGCAGCCCAAGATTCTGGGAAAGACCAAGTCTGGCCGTATCACCAAGACTACTGCCCCGCAGCCTACGACAACCCGGGCAGCTCCCAAGAAGCGTACCACTAAGAAATAGAGGCTTTGATGTCCTATTTTTTTCCCCCACTAGGTTGAGCTCTCCCTATATTTTCACGTGCGCATTTCCAGGGAGAGTACCTGGTACTGGTTCCTTTGTTCTTCTCTTGTAATTTCTTTGGACTCATTGATATCTGTGGCTCTGATGGTTTCCTCGGCTTTTTTCTTCCTTTTTTCTTGCTTCTTTTTGCTTCTTTTTGCTTCTTTTTGCTTTTTTTTTGGGATCTTTGTTATGATGGCTTTGCTTCTTTCCAAAGTCCAATGGATGGCGTCCTGCGGTGGGGTTTGCAATGGGGAACTGCAGTCTTCTTATTACCTTGATATTGTGATTAATTCCATTATCTTCATGGAATTCAATTTTGTTTTGGTCGAATTTATACATAGACTATCAACCGCGTATATTGTAGCAAACAAACCGTAGATCTCTCCATGTCTGTGTTTTATTTGTTTATCTTCGAGATACATATAATTTGGTCTACTGGACTAAAACAAGTATTATTCATTCTTTTTTCTGTATTGTTCTCAAGATACATATGTACATATGTAGTCCAATCTATACAGGAATGCAACGTGAACATGTTGGAAATTAATGGAATACATGCGTATAGAATGCCCAAAATCCTTAATGTACATACATAGTCGAATAAGAGGCAATTTATACTCCGCACAGAACGTTGATAAACCCGAATATAACGAATACATAGGTTTTACGCTCGGGTACCGGTGCTTTATTTAATCCATACAATTACCGGGTAACGGTAAAACCAATGTAAAATGATAATGCACGGTCTCCAAATCCACAAGGGGGTGAAATGGAAGCAGGTTATGGTCTATAGTAACATATATTATATCTATACTCTTTTTTTTTTCTTCCTTAGTGTGCTACAACTTTATAATTTTCCCCTGGGCTTCGTAATTGGAAGAGCGTTTTTTTTTTTTCCAAAAATTAAATCAAGATCGAGGGGCTTGGTGATCTGCTTCGCCGATTTGACCCCGACTTGAAGATCAAAACGCCGAAAACACACCGAGAAGTACATACATACATATGTATAACAGCCCCCTGAAGCTAGCAGAGAAAGGGATATATATTGTGAATGAAGTGGAAAATGCCACCGAAGAACTTGACTAAGCATATGAGCGCACCTGGGCATTATCTAAGAATATTTAGAAAAGTACGAGAGACCATGCCACTTGCACAGAGCATATTTGCCAGCATGCCAAAGGCTAGGGCATAAACAAGACATTCAAATAGGAATACCACAAAGCCAATTGTTTCAACCGGCCTAAACCAGGAGAGGTTGATGTCTGTCTTAGTCTCTCTTTTGGTGAGCTTATTCAATTGTGGGTGGTAAGTGAACTCGAATTTGTTGCCTTCTTTCAAAATCGACGCCCCAAACACGTTGACGAGCACGAACTGCTTTGACCTCTATTGAAAGATATTAGTAGTCTGTTGGCAGTTGAACTTGTCATTTTCCCCCAGCAACTCGCCTTCATAAGTATTCGATCAAAGGCTGGGGACAACCGCTGAAGAACGGTAATAAACACAAGAAGTTGGCACCAGCCTCTGAATGAGACCCTGTAAAATGTTCTAGGCCGGGAAAACCCCATCTTATCTCCCAACTCTTCGCCGTTTAATACACGGCAACCAACCTCGAGCATTGGCTTGGACACATTAACCCCTGGATAATCCTGGATAGCAGTGACGAAATTCGCTCCAATAGACTTGGAGGACTCTGTTGGCTCAGGCTCGCACATCATAATACTCTCCATAGTGGCCTTTGATTGTTCAGTGCCCTTGAAGAAGCTGTCTGGAGTCCCCATAACATAGGCGATATATCGGAACAGCGCCAGGTAATCCTCCATCTCACGTGGGTGAGGCTGGATGCCGATCTTAGGTAGTTGACGGAAGAGCGGCATGCAGCAGAAGATAGCTGTCGCATGGATTGAATCTCTCATATTAACAGCTGCGCCATACTTGGATTCATCAAAGTACGTCGGGTCTTGGTCCATGAGCTTCAGCATGCGGCTCCGGACTGTAGCGTGTAGTAGGCGAACACGCACGGTCGAAGTGTGTCCCTCTCCACCTGGTTTAATTGAATCCAGATCCATTGTCACCTGCAGCAGCCACAGGAAAGTTTCGAGGAATCGCCTAGGCATGACCCGAAGAGAAAAGCCTCCTGTTCTAATAAGGACTTCTGTTCCACCTGCAATTGTCTTTGAAAGTCAGCAATATTCTATAGACTAATATGGCACTGGAATGGTTTCTCACCGCAGTGCCCCCTAGAAATCCCTGAAGGGCAAGTCCAGTAATATTGGGTATCAAGTAGCGATAAAGAAATTCTTGTCCGCGCTCAATTTGTGTCCAATCAACCCATTCAGGGACTGTGTTCACTTCTTCCCAGAGTTCTCGTAACACGCTGTCTTCTTCATGATGTTCCTTCAAAACACTATACATGCCAAATCGGCCAAAACATTGCCCCGTATTGCTTTGCTTGCTCTTTATGGAAATAGCTTGCAGTCGGTCCACAGCATCAACGGCAAGATCATCGGCCTGATGTCTTAACGGGAGCAGCTCTTCGGGCGTGAAATGTTTACCCGTCCAGGTGAACTCATGGTTCCACACCTTTCGGGCATTGTCACTCGGGGGTTTGTATGCGTTCATGGTAGTGGTCAGTATTACACTGTGGATACAAGTCTTGAAGGAAAGGAGTCGAAGGATGAGTAGTTGGGTGAAAGCCGTTGCTGGCAGGTCGACACAAAGAAATAAATAGTCCTTTAATAGTCCTACTACCTGTATTCTTGCATTGGGCGTTACCCCATAGTAGTGGCTTTATGTTTGATCGTGCTCAAGTTCCTTGCGTCCTTTAGTCGGATTATCTCACTAGACCGTCATAATAGGTAGATAATCAGTGTCCACCTAGGTAAGGATTATCGCAGTTCTATAGATTTGACTTTGTGACTGACTCAGGTGGGAAGTGAAATACGGAGTAGAAGACTATGACTATTGGATTCGCCAATTTTGATTCAGTCACGTAAGTCAAAAGGTGTCCTTTCTTACCTGTTATGACTACTTGCATCAACTATTCCGGTAAAAAGATGACTTTGCATCATGTCAGATTTGTTCTCCATCTTTTTGCTTCTTTTAAAAATAACCCTGGGAACATCGGTGGCCAAATTCTGATAGGTTTACGTTTTGCCCATCTATATTTTAACTTAGGGTAAGTAAATTTAGCAGAGTGCACAATTACGACAAAATCAAGTTTCACGTCCAACAATGAAGTCGACCATTCCCAAATGATACATTATATGTCATATTATGCAATTGAAGTCACAATATTGAGCCGGGGTCTGGACTACAGGAATAATAGGTTACAGTGAGGCTGCTTTTATTTGGTCTTAAATCAAGCTAAGAAATGGCTAAGTACGCCACATAGCCTCGGCCACCGATAGTTCACGATCGACAAGGAGGAAGTGATAAGGAAAGCGAAATCCGATTAGCTTCTCATCTTCATCCGATTCAATATTGCTTTATTGGGTGTATCTTAAGATTTTGTGGGTTCCGCCCCGGTGGGAATGGAAAATAAAACTAAGTAAATCGAACAGGATCTTCCCTCCAGCTCATGAATATATGCTTGGGAAGGCCACGTGCATGCCACAACCGAGCTACAGAAGTCATACCAAGCAGAAATTTTGGATGTTCGATCCTACCTTACCATCTGCATGTACACATGGATTTGAGTCAACTAGCCGGGTGTAAGTATATATGCCAGCAGCGCAAGACAAAGGCACATCCCCATCTCCATTATACCATTGTTTCACCTTGCTAAAAACATCACTGACCAGTCGATCATAAATCTTCTAATAGTAGTTCGCATCACACAGACAATGAATAGGGTTGCGCCAAGGATTACGACCTGGGCGGAAGTCAGACTATATGGTTGAACAAGAAAGTACAACTGCATAGAGAGAATAACTGTGAACTATGATATGACTGTGTATGTTATGGCGGAAGATGCCATGACACGAAAAGTGAAACCTAGGGTAATTGGTAATGATAAACAATACAGTCTTTTGTTAGCGCGAAGCGCGCTTGTCCTCATAGCTAGCTCTGATATGGGATTAACGCTTCAAAGTCTGATCTGCAGACGGATGCACCTACAATGGTTCTTCTACGGAGTACGGAAGACAGTTTAGTTCTGTCTAATTTTGCTATCGGCACGGATGTTGTTTCTTTACCCGGGGATCGGGGACGCCGGTCAGAGAGGATCCTTACATTGTATCTTTGTATCTGAAGTGGAGAAGCTCCCCTGTGGCGCAGATGCGGAAGATTTTATTACTATGGAAAGCCCTATTTTTGGAATTGAAGGTGCTTTTATTGGATTATGTACTTCGTACGAAGCATACAATATAACTATAGAGACAAATTTAGGATATATTGTCTAACTCTCTATTTCCTGGATTCTGTATCTTTGAAATGAAAGGAATTGCAGGGGACCCGATAGGCTTGACATTGTAGTTGGCCACCATTTGCATTTCTACGCCAGTGTATTAGTCTGTACGGAGTACGGGGTATTGATCTAGGGAAACGGCAGTACATATGTGTTATAACAGACTACTCCATATATGGGGACTATATGATATCCTAATCTTGATACGGAGTACGGAGTACTCCGTCTATAGAGACTCAATATAGTCAGTACCAGAGGGGTTTGTGCGCTGATCTCCTTGCATAAACAACTTGCAGAGAGGGGGATGGAAGTTATAGAGAGACCAATGGAATTAGCAGTATATCGAGAAGAGAAAAAAGAAATATAAAACTGATGTGATAAACCGCTTTCATTGAACATCCGAGTTTTTTTTTTTTTATGTAGCAGCCTGATATGGTATGATATATTACCTTCCATACAATCCACAGATAGTAGTAATACATTATACACAATAGTTATATACGGAGTACATATATACATGAATATATCTATATATATCTATATACTCCGTACTTCGTAGATAAAGAAATAATTGGGATAAAAGTACCTATCAAAATAGAATATTACATGTATACATTTTCAAACATAGAAAGAAATTTATATAGAAAAAAAAAAAAAAAAAACAAGTTGAATGGTGGAGTGTTAACCATTCGATGTACACATACGTGTAATTTTCTCCCAGACAACCAATCTCCCTTCTTCCCTCCACTCTTGCCCCCCATATTTCCCCCATTTTACAACTTCATTTACCCTTTTTCTTGCATTGACCGAATAATGTTGATCGGTTGAATATTCTCGCTCTGGGCATCTGGCTCTATACTCTCTTTGTTTTCCAAATTTTTTTTTTCCCCCAGGACTCCGTCCGGTTCATAACTTTCCTGGATCTCCGCCAATAAGGGCGACTGCCGTCACTTCGGGTTGCCGGTCCACGCAGAACTCACGTCACCCCCCGTTCCCTGAAGTTCAACATGCCATCCTTCTCCAACGAAGTCTCCTACCAGACTGCCACTGCCACAGCTACCCATCCTCGCTCGTTCGAATCACCTCGAAAGTCGCACGACAAGACTCCCGTCGGAAATACTTTCCTGTGGACTAACTGGCCCAACGGCAACGACGCGAATCACGACTCGCATCAGAATGACCGACACCTTCTGACCAACATTAAGAACGGTAGTGCATACTCCCTGAATGGCCCTCGCTCTAGTGTCAGCTCGTACACGCGCGACCCGCCCCTGTCCAAGGACGGCAGCATGCATTCGGTAGGCAATGGATCCACGAGGGATCCCCGCGAGAACGGCCGGCCGTCCGCTATGCTGGACCGTAAACCGTCGGACAATGGACCGGGAGCTATTTCCACAACATCGCCCCTTTCCAATCAACAACCCAATGGCACTACAAATGGCCGACCTGTCCAGGGGAAACTCATGGTTAATGGAGACGTTTATCGGTCTTACGCCGATGAGTTTTCGATCTCGCCATCGGCTTCGCTCTTACAAATCCCGCAGCAGGATGAGACCGGTCGTCATTCTCCAGACCCTGATCGTCTGACGCCAAATTCGAAACCCGGCCCACCGCGCCATTCCTCCCCTCCCGCCTCATCCATACTCGATGCTACCTCCGTGCCGGAATCACAAAACTCTAGTATGCGACAACGACATTCGTTGCAGGTTCCACGAACGCCTAGTGTTCGGCGAGAGAGCCGAGAATACAATGACGATGCTGCATACAGCAGTGGCCGAATGTCACCGACGACCGGCTTCCGACGCGCATCAATCGGTCTTATTAGACGGGCAACGAAAAACAGCACCCATCAAGATATTACTTTAGATGAGGCACCACCGGATGAAGATGCGGCCCGATGGGCTGAAGCTATCAAACAAAAGCGAGCCTCGCGACGACGCCGCGAAGAGGAGGACGACGAGCGGGTTATTGTCGGCACCAAGGTGGATCAGAACCACGTCAACTATGTGACGGCGTACAACATGTTGACTGGTATCCGCTTCACGGTCTCGAGAATCAACGCGAAAATGGACCGAGAACTCACCTCGGCGGACTTTGATGCAAAACACAAGTTCTCCTTTGACATGTGTGCACCCCTTTTAATATTGACATTCTTTTTTTTTTTTTTTTTTTGGATATGACTGACAGTAGCAGAACCGGAAATGAACTGATCCCCTCCGCAAAATACGACTTCAAGTTCAAAGACTACGCACCTTGGGTGTTCCGACACCTTCGCGCGAAATTCCGCCTCGATCCCGCCGACTACCTTATGTCCCTTACAAGCAAGTACATTTTGTCAGAGCTGGGCTCTCCCGGCAAGAGCGGGAGCTTCTTTTACTTCTCACGCGACTATAAGTACATCATCAAGACCATCCACCATTCCGAGCACAAGCTTCTCCGGAAGATTCTTCCTGAATACTATCGGCATGTGGAGAACAACCCAAACACTCTTATCTCACAATTCTACGGATTGCATCGAGTTAAGATGGCATACGGCCGAAAGATTCATTTCGTCGTGATGAACAACCTGTTCCCGCCTCACCGGGATATCCACCAGACATTTGACCTGAAGGGCTCGACTATTGGACGTGATCTGCAAGAGTCAGATCTCGAGAGAAACCCCAGAGCGACCATGAAGGACCTGAACTGGGTTCGTCGCAACCGTCACTTGGAATGTGGCCCAACAAAACGAGAGTTCTTCATTGAGCAATTGAAACGCGACGTTATGTTACTTCAGAAACTCAAGATCATGGACTATTCTCTTCTGGTAGGAATCCATGATGCGGGCAGGGGCAACGAAGAGAAACTGCGTGACAAGACTCTTCAAGTCTTCCAGCCAGGAGGACACCGCGAAGAGGATACCACCCCAAACAACCTGATGCGTACTCCGTCGAAATTGGAGAATGAACGCAAGGCTCGGGAGCTGCGCATGCTAATCAAACGTGAAAGACCTGTTCCCTTAGACAAGGCAGCTGCAAAGATGCCAGATGAAATCCTCGATGAACGAAAATATCATGTCTTCTACGCAGATGATGGAGGTTTCCGGGCTACTCATGAGAATGGCCAACCCGGCGATGAGATCTATTATCTCGGTATTATTGATTGTTTGACTCATTACGGAACCACTAAGAAACTCGAGAACTTTTTCAAAGGACTCTCGCATGATCGGACACAG